GCAAAGCTCTCTTCGAAAAGATAGACCGATTCGTCCGTCGTCGTGTAATCGTGAATCACCCGGTCGCGAGTAAGCAAATCTACCGGCGAATCTATTCGCGCAATTTCTACGTATTTGAAGGAGAGAAAGCCCGCTTCGGAGCACACAAGCGTTCGGCCAAGTCCGGCTTATGCGGGATGATGATTGCGATGTGAAGGAGCGGGCAATTGTGCAATATTGTGCAATATCGTTGGAAGTTCACCCGCCTCGGTGAAACCATCGCAAGCGTATCGTTTACGCGACTATTTGATAGCGAGCTCGGGAGGGATAGAATGAAAATGCGAGTTTCGAATTGTATCCGTTGTTTATGGTCGATTTTGGGACGAATTTAGACGAACTTTGTCCCTTTACGTTCGGATTCTATAAACTGTCAAATACACGAAATCAGTTTGATATTGATCATCTTGATCATATGGAAAAATGGAAATATATTTAATGCTATTAATTTTTATAGAAATTATATTGAATGTTTGCGTGCATACCACACACTATGATTTGAAGTAAGAAATCATATGTGATTTTGATTTTTAATGAAATTCGAATCAACGATATTTAGTCAGATAAACGAAATACGATTTAAGTTATTAATATTCGAATTTTCTCAAGACTATCTAACTAGAGATAATATGTTAAGGATTCAAAATTGCAAAACGTTTCAATTATTATTAGACCCACACATGTGAGGACCATTAATCTGCACGACGGGACATTTCTAACAAATATCGCCAATTAATCTGACGTTGGCATGGTTACAAATTATAACAGTAATAAATTCTAACAGATTTTAAGTCTTATTTTTTCCATAACGATATATATATATATAATTATATTTCATATTTAAATTCCAAAACACAGGTAACAGGATGGACATGTGTGTTAACTTAATGTGTTGAATTTTTAATGTACATATTATATTTAGTACACATAATTAAAAATGGTATTCTTTAATAAAAGAAAAAAGGAATTATAAAATAGAACTATAAAGCTTGTTTTGTCAAAACAATCTCGAACATCATAAAGTCGCACGATATTTCGATCGCGAATGGATATGTTTTTCGGATTCGATCACGTAATTAGTCCTTGGTTTGGAGGCTCTAAGCGAGGATCTATTTTCCGTGGTATAGAATTATATCGGCGACGATTCTCGCCGTGTTTCGGAGCAAATCAAACAGGAACGACCGCGGCTTATTATCTGGATGTGCTGCGTTTCGCAACGATTTTCTGGTGGCTGATATCGCCCTTTGTCCGCAGACTCGCGACGCGCACTCAGGGCAGATTAGAGAGAACAGCGAATACACATTTATTTATAGAATCGCGAACCGCGTGCGCCGTACGTGTCCAGCATACGTGTGCGTGTGTTTCGTTGGGTCGTCGTATACGTGCGTGTATGTGTGCGCACATGTGTGCAACGCTACGTGGTGGAGGAAAACGAACGAACGAACGAACGAACGAACGTGCGAGCAACAGTATCGCAAAACGGAAGACGTGTGTGCGTGCCAACAGCTTTGTGAAAAAAAAAAGCGCGACGTCTCGCTCCGTCGTAGAAGAGAAAATTTTATTGAAACGCGGTTTGATGGTGATTCGCGAAATTCTGTTCACTTCGCGTGAAATGGATGTATGAGTTTTTTTTCTTTTTCTTTTTTGCGCAGTGTTGATAGCGACGACTGAATATCAGCCGTTGTATCGTATGCAAATTTGCATGAATGGGTGTAGTATTCTGTAATTTGAAGCCGACTCTTTCTTAAAAAATATTTTAATTACATGCGATATTTTTCTATTCCAAATTAATATTTTATTACGGATATATAAATATCGTGACATTTGTTTGTACTCTCTTCATTCGTAAAAATATTTAGTTAATCAAACTTAGTTGTTTTATTGTTCGAAATTTTACTACTGACTGGTTTTTTTAGATTTCGATCTTTTTAATGTGTTAATATGTAAAGATTTTAAACAAGGGATTCTAAAAATTTTCTGTCTTTGAATCATATATATTAAAATATATTCCACACACACAAAATAAAACTGTCGAAACGGGATTGTCGCGTGTAGTGTACGACAATGATTCACGTGCCTTTAAGCGAGGGAAGACTTGTTAACATGTGTGATATATGTGCATATGACTTGTTCGAATTAAGTAATTCCATGATGAACAATGCGAAGCAAGGTGAACGGCCCGAAGATCATCGAGAATGGCCAGAAACTGTCAATTCAGCGACTATCATAATGGACATAAGACATTTCTCTATCTCTCTTTTTCTTTCTCTCTGCATTAGCAAAAAATGTCTTTATACATATTAATTATGTCTTGTAAAATTTTACATTTTCTACTATTATAAATTTGTCTTTTATTTATAAAAAAAATTAATGGAGTGCAAATTCCTTCATTTTTTCATCTGCTATGGCCCTGGTCACACGCTAAAGTTACGATCATCCTGTTGACACATGTTCGATGCCACACCTATCGATCTTGTCATGCGATACTTGTTCCATTTTCGGTGATCAGGGAAAGCAAACAGTGTCCAGCGATAAGCGTATTCGCTTTCGAAATTTCTCAAGATATATTTGTTTTTCTATAATAACTTTGTCGATACAATGTAACGGGATCTATTTCTGTGATCGTAAATTTCCTACCGTGCGAAATCGTAAGAAGGGGAGGGGGAAACTAACCGCGTAGAAGAATACTGCAATAAATTAAGATTGTAGCCTGCGGAGATCGAGAAAATTGATCAAGATTCGAAAAAGCTGACTGAAACAATAAAAAAGTGATTCGACGATTTTCGTCCATTTTGATGTAAGACGATTGATTATTAACATAATTATTTAATTATATCGCGAAAAGCAGAACCGAGAAAAATGTTAATCTTTATTAAGAAAACAAAGAATAATATTATAATTATGTGTATTTATAATATTAATGTTTATAATGATATAATTTCCCAATAAGCCTATAAAATTAATTAACCGGTAGAATACATGTGCATATTCTGTCATTAGTATGCAAAATTTATAATTGTTATTTTTTTTTTTACTACAACATCTTTCTAAAGAATCTATCGAGTTTCTAATACTCACATCATTGGCACGATAATTCATATCATTATGCGAAATGTCAATAAAAATCTAATAAATTAAGAGATATCTCCGATATTAAATTCGAGAAACGATCATTATCGATCGATCGGGCAATTTCTATAATTCCCAAGATCACCTTCGGCATTTTCTCGCACGGTATGGCGAGAAATTCCGGTGGCCGTGACGCTGTTACGCGCATGGACATGATTTGGTAACGCCTAAGTTTAACGCTCCGGACATTCCTGAGGTTCTCGCGCGATGGTTCGCGGATGGGTGAGAGCAGCAACGGCCGGTCGGTGGGTGGCCGAAATCGGTCGTTCCGAGCTATACTAAGTAATTTTAGCGATGACACTTAAAGCGCCTGCTTGCCTACGATATTTTCCTTCATCGCGGAGTCTGATCTCACCGAAAGAGATGCATTAATCGATACTGCGCGCGTATATATCGATGAGAAACATCTCTTCAATGTGGCCGTTTTTATATAGCTTTGTTTTCAAGATATCTGAAAAAATGTGACTAGTGACTATGATTTATATTAAGATACAAATTTTATGCGAGAAATTATTACTTGTATGTTATTATTGTACATTTCTGATTGACTAGGTACTAGATATTAAAAAATGAGAAACAAGGAAATAACTTTTTGTTTTCAGTATCTTTGAAAATAAAAGACGGGATTCTCTGGCCTTTCATCGTAGTTGATGTATCGTTTATCTGTCTCTTTCTCTCTCGATACATTACATTATATTATATTATATGGTACAGATTTAATCGTGCGGCAACTCGACATTTTTCATCGCCGAGAGGCCAAGACGGCGGAGGCCTTCGTTAACGGCAGGGATGGCGATTTGTAATTTTAGAAATGATAGCGAGCCGCGCGGCGCGTCTTCTCGCGAGAGAGCGAAGGACGCGGCTTGTCCTCTCCTTTCTGCGTCCTTTTGTGCTTTCTGGGAAACGCGCAACGCGTATAGATTACGTCCCCGACTGGCGATTGGACGATGCGATAATGGTGCGCGAGACTGTCGCTACGTGAGCTGAGATTCGAGATGCTCGTTAAATATCATCGTAGCGAGACTGACTCGAACAGTCCGTTTCCTTCTCTCTCTCTCTTTCTCGTAATGAAATCACGTTCGGTTGACCGCGAATTTTATTTTTTTTTATCGCAGTCGCTCGCCGCGTGGAAACGACGCTTTTAATTCGAAGCGAATTACAGCATTGCGTAACGTCTCGACGCACGTGCGCTGCACTGTGTTTTTAAATTGCTACTTGAGACAAGCAAAAAAAAAAAATAAATAAATAAATAAATATGGAAATTTACGCGAATCGCGGAATATTATCATGATTTCAACAATGTGATACGCGTCTCTGGAATCATAATTCTAACGATTTATCTGACTGGTGCGATGATATGTTATCGACTATTGGATCATGGATATTTTTATCGAGTCATCTTGGCCAGATTAACTGGCTGATATCGGCCTGGAAAGTCGAAGATAACGCCTCTGCTATGTTAGTAGCAGTTTCTTTCTTGCAAACACAAAATCACGCCACTAGAAAATCTTACATTTCTATGAATCAAAGTTTGTTATCTTCTGTTTTTAGACACAGAGGATTCTTACAAATTCTCTCTCAGTCAACTTTTACTGATATTTATGCAAACAATTTGTATAACTTGATTATTTTGTTTTTTGATCTGAATGCATAAAAATAGAGCAGGATTTTATAATCAATGTTATTAATCTCACTATTGAAACAGTTTTAGTATAAGATCAGATTCTTTTTCTTATTTATTTCATTTATTACACAGATAAATACTTTCATAAGAAAAGATTTTTTTTTATATATTCTTGTCAGTCAATATCACGTTTGTTATCTCTATGTTACAGTTGGTATCTTTGGACGGATTGCATAGCGGTGTACCGACCAGAACGACGCCGACGTTGACGCCGACCACCCTCCGCAGCATCGAGCAGACGTTCTTGGAGCTGACGAGCGAGTCAGCGACGACGCACGGTCGCGAGGCCGGCTTCGTGCCACCGCTGGTCGAACCGTCACAGCCGACCCCGGCACAGACGCAAAACACGACGGCGGCCCATCTTCCGGCACCGACGACGACCACTCTTATTGAGAGCCAGCAGCAAACGCAGCCACAACAGCAACAGCCAGTTAAACGCAATATGGGCGGTAGAAGGCCCACCAGAACGATCGGGATGACTCCCGAGGAGGAGGAGAGGCGACAAATTCGGCGCGAAAGGAACAAGATGGCAGCGGCGAGATGCCGCAAGCGAAGAATGGATCATACCAATGCCCTACTTGAAGTAAGTGTTGACTTATAAACACAGCTGATGACAATTGAAACATTGCGCAGTTTCATCTTGTTCTTAGCGAGAAACATTGTTTCATAAATTATGGATTTCCACTTATCGACAAAATATAAAAAAAAAAATATCGGTTTTGCAGGAGACCGAGGGTTTGGAACAGAAGAAGCAGAGCTTGCAGGATGAAATAGAACACCTGAATCAGGTTAAAGAAGAACTGGAATACATTTTAGAAACTCACAGAGCCGTTTGCCGCCATTCGCTGCGCTCTTCGTCCCCGTTAGACGTGAAACCCGTGATAAAGCCTGATCTTCCGGCTGAGAATCATTTCGCCACCGAGCCCGTGAAGAGCGACACGACAGTGGGTGCAACGAGACCGAACAGACCTAATTCACTGCCGGTCGGGTTGGATAATAACAACAGACTGAATTCTTTGCCGATGTTTGCCGAACCCAAGGAGAGACCGGATACGCTTGCTTTTAAAACAGTGGAAACACCATCCTTTATGAAGCCGTCAATGGACGTGGCCGGTATGCCAATTACTACCCCGACCAGCGGTATACCATTTAACTTTGAATCCCTGATGGAGGGTGGCACTGGTCTCACACCGGTCTCGACGCCTCTGATACCATCGTGCTCGACGCAACAGAGGAACAATCTGTCAGCCGTGGATCTCAGCTCCCCGGACGCGAATCCACCGAAACTCGTGAGCTTGTGACGCCACGATGATATAGCGAAGCATGGATCGAACGAGGAGAACGATCCCGAATGAGAATGGAAGTACCATGACGCGAAAGAAGTTTAATTTTTTTAGAAAACAGAAAGGAAAGCAGAAATATTATGCGCGTGCTCTTTACAACGAAATTTTTGATCGCTCTTAAAAGCTCTTTCACATGATTTTGCTTATTAGAAAGCGCAGTTTTCAAAGCATTTTATTGACAGTTTATCGGCGTTTATAATCTTATGAAATTTGTAAACAATTCTACGCATTTGTTCTTGTAAAAAAAAAAAAAAAAACAAACAAACATAAATCAAATTTGTTCTTAGAAGAAAAAATAAAGCAAGAAAATTTTTGTCATTGAGACAACAATTGTTTATATATGATACTCTGCAAGTGCATTGATCTTTAACAAAAAAGAAAAAAAAATTATTGTATTTAGATTTTAATGATCCTATGGATGCAGTCTCAGTATTTTGCCCATTTGTAGATGACAAGGCCAACAGATGAGCCAATTTGAAACTTTGTATTGATCTATGATGAAATGATTATTTACTGTGAAGATAAATTGTAGAAGAATAAGATTATACATCTGAAAAGAAAAAGCGCCAACTATTTGCGCCTTAAAGAAAATTATCGCAGATATAAGCAATAATGCTATCTGCATACAAGTGATATAAATATATATAAAATAATACATTAGGTATATATATATATAATAT